ACACTCTCGACTGCAGAGCTGTCTCTCCAGCCCTGACACACCAGTTTGGAAACTTCCTCTACTCCCTCCTTCTGTCCTAATATTCATTTCTTCTTCAGAGTTCTCTGCTCTCTCCCCTGGCACCCCAGAAGCCTTCTTACGACTGCCTCCTTCCCTTTTACAATCTTTGCAAGGGCCTCCTTCCACAGTCAAGAGGCGAGTGCTGTCGCATGCCCGTCCTCTGCGCTGACGACTCATGTGCCCCATTATAATGCCCTCCTGGATGCTTCCCAAGGCGATTGTGTTCGTTAGCTGTTACTGGGGGGAAGCCACCACAAACATAGTAACTTGTAAATGCAAACATTTGTTCTGAGAGTCAGGCATCTGGGCGAGCCCCAGGGGTGTGCTTTCGCTTAGAGAAGGCATGGCGAGGACGTCAGGTGAGGTGCAATCATCTGGTGACTTTCTAGACTTATCTTCAAGCCTTCCCAGTCACATACTGTTGCCTGAGGCTTTAGTCCTTGCCTGGAGACCTCACCTCACCACGAAAATGCTCTGTGTCCTCCAGAGTGAACAAGGAGGAAAGTCTAATATCGTCTTCAAGTGAGTTATCGCTTCTGTCACCCTGGGGGAGGGGGTCTTTTAAGAGTGTCACATATCCTATAAGCTGGCCCTGGAACTGCTATAGTTCAGGCTGTCTTTGGCCTATAGATCCTCCTGCCACAGCCTCTTGAATGCTGGGATTATAGATGTGCCGTATCATGCCTGGCTATTCTGAGCTGATTCTTTCCCTGCCTCTCTCCTACCTGTGGTGGTATTGTGTTCCCCAAAATATTGTGTACCCTAATAAATTTATCTGGGGTCAGAGAACAGAAAAGCCATTAGATACTTAGGATAGGCAGTGGTAGCACACGCCTTTAATACTAGCATTCTAGAGGCAGAAATCCATGTGTTCAAGGTTACAGCCAAGCATGGTGACTCATCACGCCTTTAATCCCAGAAAGCGAGCCTTTAATCTCAGGGAGGGATGGTAGAAAGCAGAAAGGTATATAAGGCGTGAGGACCAGAAACTAGAAGCATTTGGCTGGTTAAGCACTTGGCTTAACCTAAACCTAAACCTAAGTTAAGCTTTTAGGTTTTGAGCACACAGTTCAGCTGAGAGCCATTCAGATATGAGGACACAAAGGCTTCCAGTCTGAGGAAAACAAGATCAGTTGAGAAGTTGGTCAGGTGAGGTAGCTGTAGCTTGTTCTGTCTCTGTGATCTTCCAGCATTCACCCCAATACCTGGCTCAGGTTTGATTTTATTAATAAGAAATTTTTAAGATTCCTGTTACACCTACCTGCACCCCTCTCTCCTTTGTTTTTGAGACAAGGTCTCATGTAGACCAGGGTGGCTTCAAACTTCCGCTCATCCTGCCTTTAACCTCCCAATACAGCTTTGGCTGGCCTCAAACTCCTGGGTCAAGCAATCCTCCTGCCTCAGCCTCTCTAGTAGCTAGAACTACCAGTACACACCAGCATGCCTGGCTGCTTCCACGGTTATCCTATCGTCCACACAGACTAACTCTGACACAGTGGGGGGGTGGTTTTCACAGGGTCACAAATGTGAGGAAACAAGAAGCAAGGGTCATTATGGGTCATCATGGAGGAAGCCTGTAGCAGGAATCTTAAAAGTTCCTGCTATACAGAACAAGCCACAGCTAACCTCACCTGGCCAACTTCTCAGCTGGTCTTGTTTCCTCAGACTGGAAGCTTCTGTATCCTCATCCCAATAGCTCTCAGCTGAACTGTGCTGCTAAAAAGCCTGAAAGCTTAGCCAGCCAAATGCTTCTAGTTTCTGGTCCTCACGCCTTTCTGCTTTCTACCACCACTCCCTGGGATTAAAGACTCGCTTTCTGGGATTAATGGCGTGATGAGTCACCATGCTTGGCTCTATCCTTGAACACATGGATTTCTGCCTCTGGAATGCTAGGATTAAAGGCGTGTGCTACCACTGCCTATCCTAAGTATCTAGTGGCTTTTCTGTTCTCTGACCCCAGATAAGTTTATTAGGGTACACAATATTTTGGGGAACACAATACCACCACAGAAGCCTGCAGTCATGATACCTCAGACTTAAGGGCTCCTCCATAGGGAGCATTTTCTCCGACCCCGCCATTCAGACCTGTACTCAACCATAAACCTGGAAATTATTTGCTCTTCTCCCTTGACATATTCTGCAGTCATCAGCCATTCCAGCAATCTCCATGACAGGAATGCAGCCTGCTCCTTTCTATTCTGGTGCCCACGGCCTGGCCACACTATTTTTCTTTTTTCCCTTGGATCGTTTTGCTCCACAATCTCCTCACTTCATGTCTGACCTGCTGCCATTGTTGCCAGAGCAGCTCTCCCAGACCTGAGGTGAAGAATCTTCAAGGCAAAAATGAAAACTCTTGGCAAACACGAAGTCACTGGTGGTCCAGCTGGCAGCTGGAGCCCCCATCAGGCCCTCCTTCTGAGTCCTCCTTTTGGCCCAGATGTTTAGTTTGCAGTTT